CCCCAAAACCCCAAAACCCCAAAACCCCAAAACCCCTTACACAAAAAATAGCTTAAAAATCTTAATCTAACTTCATTACTAAACCTTAGGTAATCTTCCTCCAAGCATAAGGTCTCCATTCTTCTTGCTGCCCTTAAGCACGCTCTTACTACCGCTCTTCCTGGTCTTATAAATATCCCTCTTGTTCTTCTGCCTTAAGTGTGGAATTGAGGGGGATGTCTCCAGCTTAAGGTTTTCGTACGGTACGGTTTTTATATTGGAGGCTCCGACTGGGTCGGAGTACTGGAGATCGACACTTTTGTTCTTGTCGTAACGGAAGGAGTCGAGGGTAGGTCTTTTGAGGGAGGATTTTCGCAGTCTGAAGGAGAGATGGTTTGGAGTGGAGCAGAGGGGGATTTTGGTCATAGCAGCGGTGAAAGCTTCTTGTTGGGTTTGGGAAGTGAGGAGAGTGGAGAGGTCGGATTGGAGGTTGATGGGTTGATCGGGGTCTTCGAGGAATAGGAGAGAGCTAGAGTTAGCGTCTTTTGAGAGGTATTTGGAGCAATCTGAGACGAGGTTTTCGCAGATTTTGAATACTTGGTTTTTGGTAAGTGTGATGTTGTTGTATTCAATAGGAGGTAAGTCCTCTTCTAGAGAAGGTTCTATTCCAGAGAAATTTCCATCCGGACTTCTATTGATGCTAGGAAATTCTCTATCAATCCTCCTTTTAGTATTTTCTTCATGAACAGTCCATTTATTCCCAAGTTTAGTCACTTCTAGAAGTCTCATGACCACAGCAGCTTGGCGATTTTCAAACTCTTGAATTTTCTTGATTGTTTTATTAACCTCTTGGACTTGTTCATTCATGCTTTTCATTAAGAGGTCAACATCACTTCTCTGTCTCTTGGCTCGTTTCTCAAGTCCTTCTCCAAGTTCATGAATGGATTCTATTTTCTCATTCATTTTATTTTATTTCAGATTTAAGCCCAGCTTTGGTCTTCTGCATGGATTCGCTGTAAAAAGAGTTAAAGTTAATTCAGAGTCGTCTTAGTAAAGGGTAGACTGAGATTAGTAGAGAAGGCTAAGGAGCCAAGAAGTAACCATACTTGATAGAATTAATAGCAGCTTGAGCTTTTTCATGGTTCTTAGTCATTTCTTTCTGTAAGTTCTTCTTCGTTTCAACTAATTTTTGGGAATTTTGAGATTTAGTTTTCTTGAAGCTAGCACTGAGAGATTCTAGCTGTTCATTAGTCTCTTTGAGATTAGCTTTTAATCCACCAAGGTTAGCAGTAAAGGACTCAACAACTTTTTCAAGAGATCTGTTTAGAGTCTCTGAGAAGGATTGGTTCAGAGTATTATAAGTCGAATCTATGGCGGAATATAGAGTCTCTTCTGTCTCGGATAATCCCTTCTCTATCATTGACTCTACTTCTGAAAGCAATTCTTGTTTATTCAAATGAGAAGAAATTAACTGTTTTACTTTTTTAATAGTAAGAGAAGAACGAGGAGACTTTGGTGTTTTTGGGGGATCTTTAGGAGGAGCTTGTGCATTGGGAGCTAGGTTAAAGGTTGATTTACGAGGAAGTGATGGATAAGTGGGCTCTAGGTTATCTGACACACTCTTATGCCCCTTTACCAATTTCATAGGAGTCTCCTTTTGCGTTTTTACAGTGAACTTCTTAATTTTCTGCTTCTTCGCTTTAGCTATTAACTTCACAGGTTTCTCTACACTAATCTCTTCCTTTCCTTGCTTTTCATCATCCTCAATCTCCTTTCTTTCCCTCTCTTCAGTCTCTTCCACTTCCTTCCTCTCTTCCTTCTCTTCTTCCTCATTCTCACTTGTTTCACTTTCCTTCTCCACTTCCTCAGTCACCTTCTTCTCCTTCAGCTGTTTTTCCTGGTCCATTTCTTCAACCTTAATCTGTAACTGTTCTTCGTTCTTTTTCGCGTGAACAGGCGTGGGCTGCCTATAAGCAAGAATAAATAGGAGTTGGGAGAGAGTAATATTAATAAACCAACCTAAAAGAAGCCAAATTTCTGTGTGTGAAGAAAAGGAGTAAAAAGTTGAAATTTTGGGTAGAGAAGAGGAGAAGGAATGGGCTTGGGCTTTAAGAAGGGGTAGCTGGGGGGTTGGGTTAATTGGTTGGAGGTGTAGGTGGGAGGGAAGGAAGGAGGGTGGGTTTAGAGGGGGAATTATTTGTACTGGTGGAGTGGATGGGTGGTTTGGACGGGAGGTTTTGGGGTAGGGAAGGTTATAGGGTCGGTGATTGATTTTTCAGGGGTTTTGGGGTTGCTGGTCTGTTCGTCTGGGGTGTGGTGGGAGCTAGGGTTGGAGGTGGGGGATTTGGGGGATTTTGGAGAATTTTGAGTCATTTTTGGAGGGGGGATGTGAAGTCTGGAGGAGCGGCGAGAGAATTGGCTTGTGAATGAGTTCTTTCGACCGTCCATTGGATTGTTGAATGATATTTTGGTGATGTTAAGGTGATTGGAGTCTAAGTTTGAAGAAGAATCTGCAGCTTTGTTGTGAGAAAATAAATCATTTTCAAGCTCAGAATGACTTATACTGGAGGCTTCCAGGAAAGAGCCTAAAAATGTATTTTGCATTTTAGCTTTTTCAGGTTTTGGAGCAGGCTTTGTTTCCTCTTCTTTAACTTGACCTTTTGATTTCTCAAGTTCTTCCTTCTTTTTCTGGTCTTCTTCATTTTTTAACTTTTGATAATATTGTTGCTTGAATAATTCCTCAGTAAAGTCGTTAATCGACTTTGATCTGAATTTCTTCTTCTAATAAAATTATATCAAGTACTTACAGTAACTTGAAACTTTGTAATATCATCACAAAACTCAGTTTTTAACTGTCTTTCTGTTAAGATGAGAGATCTTTTTCTTTTCCTAATCTGTTTGTTACCAGTAACTTCTTTGTCAAACTGCTCAAGGTCATCTTCAACAAGTTGGAACAGGCTATCTCTAATCCTTGGCCAATTCCGTACTGTCCCTGTATTCGGTTGTATTTCTTCAACAGCATATGTATATTTGCATAATGAGTATGGGTTAATATCCAGGCTTTCGTAACCAGCGACTGAATGGGCCAGACTTTTGATGTACCTCTCCATATGGTCTACATCTTTGGCACACCGGGTATTGCTGATCTCTAACTCATCAACCTTCCTATGGATCCTGTTGCTGAGGAAGTTAAAATTATCAATGCCCGTTTTCTCTTCTTGCAGCTTCTGAATACTCTTCTTAATTTCTTTGTGATCTACTTCGAGATTGGAGAGAGTAGTGTTGAACTTTTCAAGCGCTTGTTGAGAGCGTTCAATAGACTTCTCAAATTCGACTCTTTTCTGAGTCTCGTCTATCAGGCTGTTACGCGTTGTGTTCATATCCTCCAGAAGTTGCATGTTGTTTTCTCGAGATTTTTCTAATAAATCTTCTTTATCTGCTAACTGTCTATTTGCTATGATGTTTTGCTCCTTTCTAAGTGTTTCATAATCCTTTTCTTGCTTTTTAATAAGATCTGCATGGGTTTCTATAAGCTGATAAGTTGAAGCTAGTTTTGAATCGAAGCTAATTATCTTTGAATGAAGGTTTTCAATATCTTGGTCCCTTGACTCCCGCTCTGTGATAAATCTCATGTCTAACTCGTTTAATTTCTTGTTGATCATATCAAAATTATTAAGTTGGTACTCTATTTCATGTGTTTGTTCTTGTAATTTCTCCAATCTACCATCAGCAACTTCTATTCTAGCTTCGATCTGGTATTGGCTATTTAGAGAAGGATCGACCATTTCCTTAATCATGGTCCTCATCCTAGTTTCAAAATTAAACCAATCAAGCTTGTTCTTCAAGTCAGGATTGGTGACAGGTTGAAGGGGTTCATCAGGCTCAACGTAACTTTGATTAGCAGTTGTTTCAATAGGATCTGACATAACTTTTATTTTTATAGTTTCAGTATTTTTATAAATTAAAGGGGTTTTGGGGTTTTGGGGTTTTGGGGTTTTGGGGTTTTGGGGTTTTGGGG